TCAGTCATCTCTTTCCCAAGTGAACAGAGCCAGTCTTTTTAATTTCTCCTCATATAGAAATTGTTTCATACTCCTAATCATTTTTGTTGCCCTTACTTATTTCCATTTCTAATATATCTTTTTGAGATGGGGTGACCAAAATTGCATGCAGTATTTAAGATGTAGGCACAGTATGGATTTATATCGTGGATATTTTCTGTCTTATTATCTATCCCTTGCTTTATGGTTCCTAACATTCTGTAAGCTTTTTTGAATGCCGCTGCACTTTGAGCAGATGTTTTCAGAGAACTATCCATGCTGATTCCAAGATCTCTTTCTGGAATGGTAACAGCTAATTTAGACCCCCTCATTTTGTATGTATAGCTGGGATTATGTTTTCCTCTGTGTATTTCTTTGCATTTATCAACATTCAGTTTCATCTGCCATTCCGAAGAAGTGGGCATTCACCCACGAAAGCTTATGCTCCAATACATCTGTTAGTCTTAAAGGTGCCACAGGACCCTCTGTTGCTTTTTACAGATCCAGACTAACATGGCTACCCCTCTGATACTATCTGCCATTTTGTTTCCCAGTCACCCAGTTTTGTGAAATTCCTTTGTAATTCTTCACAGTCAACTTTGAACTTAACTCTGTTGAATAGTTTTGCATGATTCGCAAACTTTGCCACCCCAGTGTTTCCCCCCTTTTTCAGCTCATTTATGAATATGTTGAACAGAACTGGTCCCAGTACAGATCTTTGGGGGAACCCTGCTATTTTCCTCTCTCTACTGTGAAAACAGACTGTTTATCCCCATCCTTTGTTTCCTATATTTTAACCAGTTATTGATCCATGAAAGAACCTTCCCTCTTATCCCATGACTCCTTCCTTTTCTTAAGACCATTTGGTGTGGGATCTTGTCAAAGGCTTTCTGAAGGTCCAGGTACACTATATCCACTGGATCACCTTTGTCCTCATGTTTGTTGGTAACCTCAATTCTAATAGAATGGTGAGGCATGATTTCCCTTTACAAAAGCCATGTGGACTCTTTCCCAACATATTGTGTTCATCTATATGGCTGATAATTCTGTTCTTTAATATAGTTTCAATCAATTTGCCTGGTACTGAAGTCTGGCTTACCTGCCTGTAATTGAGATGATTGCCTCTGGAGCCATTTTTAAAAAATCAGTTTACAATTGACACATCAGTCTGGGACAATTCCTCAGATTTATCACCTACAAAGAATGGCTCAGATGTGGCAATCTCCCTCACCGTCTCTGCAGTGAAGACCAATGAAAAGCATTCATTTAGCTTCTCTGCTGCAGTCCTAAATGCTTCTTTAGTAACTCGATCATCCAATGGCCCCAGTCATTGTTTGACAGACTTCTTGCATCTGATGTACTTTAAAAAAAAATGCTGTTAGTTAGTGTGTCTTTTGCTAGTTGCTCTTCAAATTCTTTTTTGGCCTGCTTAATTATACTTTTACACTTGACTTGCCAGAGTTATGTTCCTTTCTCTTTTCCTCAGTGGGATTGAACTTCCAATTTTTAAAGGATGTCTTTTTGGCTCTGTCTCTTTTACACTGTTGTTTAGCCATGGTGCTGGTTTTTTGGACCTCGTCTTGTTTTTTTATTTTTTTATTTGCAGTATACATATGAGTTTGAGCCTCTGTTATGCTGTTTTTAAAAAGGTTCCATGCAGCTTGCAAGCAATTCGCTCTTGTGACTGTTCTTTTAATTTCCATTTAACAAGCATCCCTGTTTTTGTGTTGTTCCCCTTTTAAAAGTTAAATGCTGCTGTGGTCGGTCTCTTTGGTATTTCCCCCCCTACAAGGATGTTAAATGTAATTACAGTATAGTCACTATTACTGAGTGGTTCAGCTATAGTCACCTCTTGCACCAGCTCCTATGCGCCACTTAGGACTAAATCAAGAATTCTCTCTCCCTTGCTGGGTTCCAGGACTAGCACCTGGCATTGGCCACTGTCAGAAGACAGGTTACTGGGTTAGATGGACTTTTGATCACACTCAGTATGGCCGTTCTTATGTCCTTATGCTCCAAGCAGCAGTCATTAATAGCTTAAAGTCTCAATTAAGCTGTCACCTGACCCTTAGTCCTGCCCCCTCAGGCTGGAAGCAGCTAATTAATTATAGCACAGGTGTGGCTGGCCCAGTTCCCCTTAAAGGAAACAGTCTCCCTGAGACCCCAAGAAATTGTGCATGTACTGAAGTTGAAAGTGGAAAATAGTAAAATTACAATGTAAATAATTTTTAAACGCCCACAGTGTGCTTACCACTATATATGACACAGATAAGGACATAGTTGCAGAACCAAAGGGTTTATAATCTAGATAGAATTGGGAGAATTAAGGGGGGAGGGGAAGTTTGGCATATTTAGAGAGTTGGATGAGATTAATAAGGAAAGTCCAAATACTAGTCCCCTCTTCCCACACACACATTCATATGTGTAGACTGTGAGCAGCATAATTCATTTGAACTTTGAATACATTTTCCTCAAGAAGAGGAGAGATACTAAAACTTGTCATGTCATGACAGGATAGACAGTATTAGAACTATTAAAATACTGGTCAGCCCCATATGCATTATATGTTAGAAATTTAAGGGAAATAGGAAAGTCCCTGCAAAGATGTGTGCCAAAACCACATTTCTGTGTCCCTGATCTGTATGGACTTTGATTTTCATGTTAAAAGCTTCCTGTTTTTCCACAACCTTATATTGTTCTTTGTGAAAGACAGGAGAGTAAATGCAACCTATTCATTTTAAATTTCTTTTTAAATAAACAGTGAAGTAAGCATCTGAACAGATGAGACAATAACGTTTTTTAGAATGCTCAGGTGTGAGGATCAGGAAGTTACATGTGGTGTGGTGAAGGAAGGGGCCAGTAGAGAAAGGGAAGTGTGAGCTCTTGGGTGTTTTGTGGCTGGCTGGGAAAGCACAGCTACCAACAGAGTTGTTCCTGTGGCCCAACATGCCTGCAGCAAAAGTACATCACTGCATCACTGACAATGATCTGCAGAGACCACTGACCTGAGGAAGGCTGAGAGTAAGAGAGTGGAGGACCCGCAAGAAATCCTTTATGTAATCTCTTTTGGCATAGACCATATTTCTTGTACATTAGCATAATGATTTTTTGTTATATGATTAAATACAATTCCATTCAAGTATTCATCTGTGTGGATCCCACTGTATGTATGCATGCGTGCCGTGTGCATGAGATTGAAATCTTTGCATAGCTGTGTCCGTTGGACCTATGTTCTGCATGTCTCCCCTCCCCAGCCTAGGGCTTAAACCATGCATCAGTACCCTGTCCCTGCCCATGGCAGCAAGACAGATCCAGGCTGTGTCTGCTTGCTTAACACATTCACCAAACCTAGTTTTATCTAGCTAGATAAAACACTAGATTCCTCCCCCCTTTGCTTTTTTCCCCTTCTTTAACAAAAAAATCCCCCAAGCCCCTATTTTTCTCTCATCACTCTGCACCAAAACCACTCACATGACAGATTTGAAGCATTTGGGCTTCAACCATGTCTGCTTTGTGACAGCCTCATTCCGCTTACAGAAGATCATAGCCCTTGTTTAGTTGTCTCAGCGAGAGCCATGTGCCTGACTATTGCTCCATCTACCATTTGTTCTCCTTAAAATGAGGAAAATCTAGAGACATCCAGCTAACATATCATCTGGAGCAACCTAAAAGGACTACTTCAGACTCAGAAGAACAGACATCAAACTCCCAGATGGGAGCTTCTACCTCTAAATCCCAGTTTGTGTCAGCATCCCCAGCTGCTGAGAAGTGACTCTCAAGGCCAGTACCAGTAAGAAGTCTGATCTGGCACCTACAGGCCATGAAGCAGCCACCAAAGACAGCTCAGCACTGATAGTTGTCCAAAGACAAGGTTGATCAGGCCACTAGATCATATGTGGTTACTGGCACCAGTCTTCCTCCCCTGAAAAAGGAAAAGTCGAGAGGCTGAAGAAGAGCTATTCACCTTCACTTTCCTTCAGAGAACTGAGCACAAAGCCCTCTCTTACTACAGGGGTTCAACTTCTGGCTCAGAGCTGAAGAGCACTAAGAATATCCCTGTCCCTGCGTCCAGTACGGATTTGTCAACCCTGAAAATGGCAGAGTGGACATTGGAGCTGGCACCAACAATCAAGCACTAATGGTTCTAGCTGACTTATTGCTGATAGAAGTTACCTCCTCTAGTACCTTTATCTAGCACTGACTCCAACATCCAAGTTCATAGTACTCACATTACCTCACAGATTGGCACTGCCCTTAAAGGAGATTTATTCCTCCTCCCACGCTGCTGACCAAATCATCTCCCCTTATGGCCATGACTCAGCAGTCTCAGTCTTGGGATGGCCTTGCCAGGCAATCTGAAGGCCTAGTGGTCAAGTTACAGTCTACCATCCCCTAATGCTCCCCAGGTTCCTCTGGTCAGGCAGAGCCTCAGGGGAAGAGGGGGGGGGGTGTCCCAGCCCAGGAACCTAGCAGGAAGGGGGAAAGGGAATCTCTAGCTGGTACAACTGCCCAGCTTCCCCTGGGCCACTTCCTCCCCAGCCCATTCTCTCCTGAGTTTGGGGCATGGTCATGGCACTCAGCTTCCCTCTCAGCAGAGGATCGCTCCCACAGCCTAAATAGTTAAAACAGTCAGTTGGGTCTTCCCAGCTCACTTTCCAGTGTCCACTTAGCAGGGATGGAAAAAAAAGGGGTCAGGCCCTTGGCCTCCCAGTTGGGACTTACCCAATCCAGACTCTTCCCCTGTAGATCCCTCTGTCCTAGAGGCTTCAACTAGCCTCTCCTTCCCACTCCCCTGCTTGCCTCTCAGAGTCTCCTTTTAAGCAGGACCACCATTTGGAGCATGCTTTGCAGCTGCTGAGGGGCAGGGCCTTCTTGGCCCAGTACTGCCCCATGACTCCTTTAGTCTTAGTGAGGGGTCTGTAAGCCCCATCACAATGTAACACAGCATTCAACAGATACAACAAATTCACAAAACACACATATTTAAAATGACTGAAAACAATCTTTATTACAGAAACTCCAACAGTAGAAAAGTACAGAGCATACACAATTTTCATAACTAAGTAATTATGTTGGGACCCATTAATAATGGCAGGATAACAGTTAAGGAGATAAGTCAATAAGCTAATGGTGTCTGTATTCTCAAGAAGTGCATTTAAATCTCCCACCCCTCTCCTTGCAGCACTTCACAGCCAATTTTTAGACTGGGCTTTATTTGCCCTGTGTGGAGAAATAAGGGACAGAAGGAAATAAAGCTTTGCACTATAATCTTATTGGCCTTTTGGCTAAGAATAAGTATAGGATTGGTATATGTGATATGCCCTTTCTTGTTAGGTTGTATGTTGCATTTTCAGTAGGATGTAGTACATGATCTAGGCTGTGATTTTCAGTGGGGCCTAAGGGAGTTAGGGATTTTAGCAGGGTGTTTTTGTATCTAGTTTCTATGATCCTACATTGTGTGCGAGATGTTGGACAAGTGGCGGATTTTGTAAGGAACAACTATGGTGAGGAGGAGCGGGGCCACTAGGTTAGGTAGCATTGTCAGCGTTGATCATCCATACAGATGAGCAAAAGCAAATAGTAGAAGAAATGGATGGTGTTAATAGTGGTATTAGTGTGACAGCATGTCTAATATACAGAATATTATATGGTAAGATCTTAAAAATCCCACTGCATGTTCCTCCTTTGCAACCCGTACTTTGTATGGAATATTTCCTCAAACAGAACATTTAGCAACAAAACCCTGCAACCAAGAGCCACTAAATCTGTAGATTTCCCCCCTCTGAAGCTGGACGCTCCTAAGAACAACATTATATGAACAATTTCTCAGAAGATAAGCCACCCACCAAATAGTAAGCTAAATTCTGGCAGGAAATGAGCATGAGCATCTGCCAAAAAATTGCATGTAGCAACTCAGGCAGCAAGTTTGCTGCCTATTCTTACTCCCCATAAAACTCAACACTTCCTGACCAAGCAATTTCCCCATCTACATCTCTACTGCCATTTGTTCATGCTTCTTGAAAACATCTGTTCATGGGATTGGGCAGACAGGGTGTTACTGCTTGTCAGAGAATGGGTTCACATTGAGAGTCAGATCCGCAGCAGCTGTAAAGCAGTGAAGGTCCATTGGCTCCTCAGCTGGTGTAAAAATCACTGTATCTGCACTGGCTTTGTAAATGCTCCAATGGCTTCAATAAAGCTTTGCTGATTTTACACCAGCTATGGATCTGGCCCTCTGGCTGCATTTGCATTGTACACTGCACCAGTGCTAATTAGTACAAATCTATTATTTTACTCATTGCATGGGAAAGGATCGCATTTAGCTTTTTTTTTTAAATAAAAAAGACCTTCCCCCACACACACACCAGGAAAAAACCAAGATACACATGAACTCAAACATTATTCACCACTAACTGTTTGATTTATAATTCTAATCCAAAATATGCAATAGAATGTATTTATTTTGCATCATGCATAAAAATGGCACAGGGCACTGCACAATGAAACACGGTTAAATTATGAGTAATTAAGACCAGTTAAAGCAAGAGTGAATAGATCTCTTTTCAACTGGGTATCAAATGTTAAAAGACTGAATAGTAACAGAGTTTCCCAGGCAAGGAGCATAACAAGAAAATGCTCTGGTTCCCATTGATACAAGATTTAAAACTGGACAGATGAGGAAACCCAACATTTGAGATTCTAACAAAGGGCTAGGAACATACAAGAAAGGAGATCAGTTAAATACACTGGGCTGCAGCTAGTCAAGACCTTCATTGTGAATAAAACGAACAAATTTTATACCTGCAAAACTTTAAAAGGACCCAGCCAGAAAAGTTTACGACCTGATCCTGTGAGATGCTGCATTCCTTCAGCAGCCCTCAGGATTATACCCTTAAAATGCCAGTAACATGCTGAGAGAGTAATAGTTACATTGCATGTTCTTTGTAAATTCAGTTTTCAAATTTATGCTCTTCCTTATATTAACCCATTTCCTACGTATGATCCATAAACTGTGTTGTAAAAACAAAAAGTTGAATTGAAATAGGCCACTAAAAATCCTCTCTCTAAACACAAGTGAACTGTATGAAAACTGTTCCCCTTCTTCTCAGTTGCAGGTAGCTCAATAAAATGACCAGGTACTTGATTTCATAACTAGACACACATACTCTGGCATTTTACATTGTTCTAACAGTGTTATTAGAAGAAAAATTATGGCAGACTTGAAATTCTAAAATCTTTTCATGAAATGCTTCTCATTATTTATATGAAATTATTTTGATCTGCTAGATTCTCTGGTACACAGACGATTTCCGCTTAAGGCAGATCGCGCAGAGGATGAGTGCCAGGATGCCGGCGATAAAGATCACGAAGAAGCCAATCGCAGGAAAAATGATGTTGAAGTCAGCTGCGCACTCCTCCACTAGAAGGGGAAAAAATATGTTGGGTAAAATTTAGTGATGCCGACACTGACTGAATCTTTCAGCCCTTCAGGAAGTGATCTTTGAATACTGGAACATTAGAATCATTTGATCAGTTGCAGTCGTTTGAAAGGACCATATCTCTTCTGCTTATTATGCTACTTTACAATGATATCCAAATACCTCTCCTTTTGCTGACTGGTTTTAAATTTAGTTTGATGCTTTTGTGGACTTGAGGGTGCTGCATAATAGTCTTTCATTTTTACAGTCAAACCGAGAGAACATTTCTGGTAATGCACTGTTACTTTCATAGACAGATTTTAAGGCCAGAATGAATCATGATGATCATCTAGTCTGACCTCCTGCATAACACAGGCCAGCCCCACATCACAGCATCCATGTGGAGGGAATTTTTCTCCTCTACTGTGTAAGTGAGTAAGCAATTAATGGTTTAACTAAGCAGTAGTAAAATATCAAAACGGCTTTTAAACTTTAAACAAAATGGGCCAGATATTGATTTGAGTTACCCTGGTGAAAATCCAGAGTGAGTCCACTGCAGTAAATGAAGTTACTCCAGATTTATGCTATTACATAACTGATATAAAATATTGGCCCAATGTTATCTATTTATTATTGCATTTTTTTCAAACTAAACTAAGTGATGAAGAATTCCTTATACAGCACATTTTTCTAGGCTCCTATCCTGCAGTCCTTATCCAGGAAAAACTCCCACTCACAGCAAAACTTACCTCGTTACCGTTATTAGTAGGGAGGATTTTTACTGTTCTCATATTTTATTCTACTTTCTCATTTTAAAATATTTTCATATTTAATTTCTCCTCACTTCGATGGGTTTTGTCGCAGCGGGTCAGGTTTTTTTGGTTTTTGTATGTTTGTCTTTTAAACTTTGTAAATCTTTTGTAAGATGAAGATTTAAATCAACCAAACAACCCCACTTTAAAATCATCTCAAAATCAATTACTGTATATATCTCTCAATCACCTGATTAGTAGGAAACAGAGACCAAAGCATTACATACAGCATGCTTTAAAATTAATCTAAATTATCTCCATGTGCAGATCCAACACCTCAGTTTACAAGCATGAAATTCCTCCTTGTGCAGAGGGCCTGCACACCATTTAAGTCCCACAAGAACCTTCAAAATATAGCTTAAGTGGGTCTTCATTTGTTCATAGACCTTTGTGGGCCCTCTGCAGTCGACACCATTTAATATTAAATATTCACTGATGGTGTGTTTTTAATAACCCTAGTGTCTTCCTATACTTAGAATAGGAGAAAGCACAGTATCATCATTACCTCAGCGTGGCAACTGTTGAGTTTTGTAGCAATCACTGTAAATATTCTGAATAGGAAGTGATTTTACTCATGAGCTCCCAAGAGAAAATGTCTTGAATATTAGTCTCATTGGATCCCCGAATCCACCTGAACTCACCCCTACCTCAACCTACACATGCACAGTAAAGTCTCATGACACTAGCCCATGTTTTCTGCCCTTCTGTATTAGATCTCTCTATGCTGTATTGTGACATAGGGTTAATATTGACATGCTGTTTATAGCCACAGATGGCTCATTCTATCCCCCTGGAGCAGACATTTTAAAAGAAATCCACTGTCTTAGATATATTTCTTGTTCCTTATTATGTTTTTTTTTTAATGAAAATAAAGCTCCTAAGAAAATAGAAAATTATCCAGCATTTAAAATCTGCCTCTGGAGTAGGCATCAAAGCAGCCCGATCTGTCTGTGAAAGTGCTACAGCACTAATATGTATATCACATTGCCACAGCAGGACCTATCACTCTGTTTCGCCAACGGAATTAGTAGGAAAGAGCAGAGATTAGTATAATACTAGCCCTAATACTCATAAGGTGAGTGTGCACATTTTTGTGGAGGGAAGCAGAGGCAACCTGTCCATCCATGAGGATACTTGTCCCAGGGCTTCTGCACACATGGCTTCCCATAAGAGCATCACTGAGCACTGGTTCTACAGAATCTCCTTTGAATATAGACTTAGTCCTGTGAGAGAGTGTCTTGCATGCCTAATAATCGACCATCTCCTTAGACCCTAACAGCATATCCCTAGACTCATCCCTTTATCATTTGTTCTGTCTTCTAAGCACCCATAATTTTGTTGGCTCTTTTTCAGGAACACAATAGATCTTAAGTGTTACCTCTTGAACATATTGCATTAAACACATGGCCTCATCCCATTAAAATATATAGCTCTTTGACTATAGGTTTGACAACTGGAAGCCAAGATTCCCAAGGTCTCTATACTTGCTACGCACATTTTGAAGTGTGTGGGCAATTCAGATGCGTTCATATCCTCTATTTGGCTTTCTTCTCGAAATTAGCCCCAAGACAAGCACAATGACAAACAATCCCAGGGTGCTCAGGCCCAATGCAATAGGGATTGTTCTCCTGTTTCTGTCAAGAGAGCATTCTTCCTCTGCAATTAAAGTTAGAATATAGAGTATGCATTAGATCAAAACAACACACTCCTAGAATACATGCCGATGCAGATACTTTTAGAACATAGCTACTGGGGACAACCCAGAATTCTATGTCATTGCTGAACTCAGTATGATTTTCTTTATGGAGGGATCACATCTCACAAAAACATACTTGCCTAGATGGAAATAGCTACATTCCTTGTGGCGAATCTATTCTGCTTTATCACATACACATTCGGAAAAAAATCTGTTGATACACATTTAGGGCTTGAACCTGTGGAGCACTCCATGCATACAGTGCAAGGTTAAAAATAATGAGCAAGACTGGGATCCGACATGAAGGAGAACCTCTGCTGTGCAGCTTTCAGTCACTCCTGCCTAATAGTCTGCCTGGTGCGAAGGTTCCAGATCTCTCGAGACATCTAGATAGACTTATGTAGTGCTGGGGAGGAGCCGGTGGTCGTGGTACATGTAGGTACCAATGACATAGGGAGGGATAGGAGAGAGGTCCGGGAGGCCAATATTAGGCTGCTTGGTAAGAGATTGAAGTCCAGGACCTCCATGGTAGCAATCTCTGAAATGCTTCCAGTTCCATGCACATGGCCAGTTAGACAAGCAGAACTGCAGGGTCTCAATGCATGGGTGAGACAATGGTGTAGGGAGGAGGGTTTTAGATTTATTAGGACATGGGGAGGGATAGCTCAGTGGTTTGAGCATTGGCCTGCTAAACCCAGGGTTGTAAGTTCAATCCTTGAGGGGGCCACTTAGGGATCTGGGGCAAAATCAGTACTTGGTCCTGCTAGTGAAGGCAGGGGGCTGGACTCAATGACCTTTCAAGGTCCCTTCCAGTTCTGGGAGATCTCCATTACTTAATTTATGGGGAAACTTTAGCAAAGGAGGAGCCTAAACAGGAAGGATGGGCTCCACTGAAACCAAAATGGAACCAGATTGCTCGCACTTAACATTAAAAAGGTCCCAGAGCAGTTTTTAAACTAAGGGCTGGGGGAAAGCTGATACGTGCGGAGGAGCACATGGTTTGGACAGAGACATCCCTTAGGGAGGATCTATTAATGGAGATTCTCTATGTCCTAGAAAGAGGAGAGGATGGAAGTATGATAAAATACAGGTAGGATCTGATGAGAAACCATCAAATGAAAAAAAAAGTCCCTTTCAATTACATCATATAATGGCAGACAGCTAAAAAGTAGCAAGTTTTAAAAGTGCTTATATACCAATGCTAGAAGTCTAAATAATAAGATGGATGAACTAGAGTGCCTCATATTAAATTAGGATATTGATATAATAGGCATCACAGAAATTTGGTAGAATGAGGATAATCAATGGGACACAGTAATACCAGGGTACAAAATATATCGGAACGACAGAACGGGTCGTGCTGGTGGGGGAGTGGCACTATATGTGAAAGAAAGCGTAGAATCAAATGAAGTAAAAATCTTAAATGAACCAAACTGTACCATAGAATCTTTATGGATAGTAATTCCATGCTCTAATAATAAGAATACAGCAGTAGGGATATATTACTGACCACCTGACCAGAATGGTGAAGTGACTGAAATGCTCTGGGAGATTAGAGAGGCTAGTAAAATAAAAAACTCAATTATAATGGGGGATTTCAACTATCCCTATATTCACTGGGCACATGTCATCTTAGGACGGGATGCAGAGATACAGTTTCTCGACAGCTTAAATAACTGCTTCTTGGAGCAGCTAGTCCTGGAACCCACCAGAGGAGAGGCAATTCTGGATTTAGTCCTAAGTGGAGCACAGCATCTGGTCCAAGAGGTGAATAAAGCTGGACCGCTTGGTAATAGTGACCATAATATAATTAAATTTAATATCCCTGTGGCGGGGAAAACACCACAGTGTCCCAACACTGTAGCATTTAATTTCAGAAAGGGGAACTTCACAAAAACGAGACGGCTAGTTAAACAGAAATTAAAAGGTACAGCACCAAAGGTGAAATCCCTGCAAGCTGCATGGAAACTTTTTAAAGACACCATAACAGAGGCTCAACTTAAATGTATCCCCCAAATTAAAACACACAGTAAGAGAACCAAAAAAGAGCCACCGTTGCTAAACAATAAAGTAAAAGAAGCAGTGAGAGGCAAAAAGGCATCCTCTAAAAAGTAGAAGTTAAATCCTAGTGAGGAAAATAGAAAGGAGCATAAACTCTGGCAAATGAAGTGTAAAAATATAATTAGGAAGGCCAAAAAAGAATTTGAAGAACAGCTAGCCAAAGACTCAAAAAGTAATAGCCAAAAAAAAAAAAATGTTAAGTACATCAGAAGCAGGAAGCCTGCTAAACAACCAGTGGGGCCACTGGACGATCGAGATGCTAAAGAGCACTCAAGGACGATAAGGCCATTGCGGAGAAACTAAATTAATTCTTTACATCGGTCTTCACGGCTGAGGATGTGAGGGATATTCCCAAACCTGAGCCATTCTTTTTAGGTGACAAATCTGAGGAACTGTCCCAGATTGAGGTGTCATTAGAGGAGGTTTTGGAACA